GTTTAGTTTCATATTGAACTTCTGCAAGATCTGAAACGTATCTGATAAGTGCGATATATGATCCCCCGAATGCTTAGTTTTAACGAGCATATCGTCTATGTATACCTCCATAGTTTTTCTCAAGTGTTCTTGGAATATTTTGGTCACCAGTCTTTGATACGTTGCACTAGCGTTTTTGAGGCCAAAAGGCATTACTTTATAGCAGTAAGTCCCCCTGTCTGTTATAAATGAAGTTTTTTCTTCATCTAAAGGATCCATTTTAATCTGGTTATAACCTGAATATGCATCTAAAAAACTTAACAATTCATGTCCTGCAGTAGCATCAATTAGTTGATCTATATGTGGTAATGGAAAAGAGTCTTTGGGACAAGCTTTGTTAAGATCTGTGTAATATACACAAACTCGCCACTTACCATTCTTTTTTGGTACCACAACAGTATTAGCTAACCAATTAGGATACTTTACCTCGCGGATAGATCCATTGTTTAATAATTTTTGGACCTCATCTTGAATCACCTGATTTTTGAAAGTTCCTTGCTTTCTCTTCTTTTGTTTGATAGGTGGATAAGACGGGTCTTCGTTTAATTTGTGAGTCATTACCTCCGGTGGTATACCTGTCATATCAGAATGGGACCAAGCAAAACAATCTGCATTAGCTTTTAAAAATTCAATCAACTTATGTTTTACGTTTGGGCTGAGATTGGCCCCTATGTAGATTTTCCTTTCAGGACAATGTACAAACAATACTACAGCCTCCAGTTCTTCGATCGTTGTTTTGATATTTTCATTTTCTTCTGGTTCTTCAATGGAGTCGGGCCTTGAATCTACATCTGTTCGCCCTTGTTCAGTTGAAGTTTGTGTTGTGGTACCCTCAACTGAATACTGTAATTGTTATTTTTCTTCATTTCTCGTGCTTGAATCTGCTACGGAGTTAATGTTACTAGATGTCTGTTGATATCCACGGATTTGACATATTCCCCACAGTGATGGAAATTTAACGACTTGATGTAAGGTCGACGGAACAGCATCCATCTCGTGGATCCATGGCTTCCCTAGAATTATGTTGTAAGCCATTTCCAGCTCCACTACCTGAAACTTTGTATCTTTGATAACTCCTTCTGCGAATGTAGTAAGTATTACTTCCCCTTTCGTCACGACGCTAGAATTGTCGAACCCGAACAAAGTATGCCCCTTGGGTACTAATTTGGCTTCAGCTTGCATCTCATGTAGAACTCTTAGCAGAATAATATTCACAAAGCTACCTGGATCAATCAAAACTCGTTTCACATTAGTGTCATATACAAGTAAAGATATTACCAGTGCGTCGTTATGTGGAGTTAATACGCCATCCGCATCTGCATCATCAAACGTAATGCTTTCTTTCTCTAAGACATGTCGCACCCGCTTCCCGTGGGTAATTGTGACTTTGGATACTTTATTTGTTGCTGTATACGTCACACCATTGATTTCTTCACCCCCACTTATAACATTAACGGTCCTTTTTGGGGAGGGTGGTTTTGGGGGTTCCTGCCTATTCTTCATGTATGCTTGCTTTCCTTTCTCACTGAATAACTCAGTGAGATACCCTTGCTTCAACAGATGATCAATTTCACCCTGTAATAACCTACAATCTGTTGTTTTGTGACCATGATCGTTATGAAATTCACACCAGTGTTCGGGATTGCGCCTGTTTGGATTTGACCTCATCTCTTTTTGCCACCGCACCTTATCACCCATGCTTCTTAAAACAGCAACGAGCTCGGAAGTGCTTACATTAAAATTATAACCACCGAACCGCGCCTTTAAGTTTCTATCATCATCTCGTGACTCTCGCGTGTTGCGATCATTTCCATACCTAGATGATGAACCTGATTCTCTATTTCTAGATCTATGATCGTACCTTGAATTATCATGCTTGGACCGTGAATCTTTTCCAGCTGGGCCCATTTATGGTTTGTACCTGTTTTTACCTAATCTTTTTCTGTTTCCACCCGTCTTGAACTTACCTTTTCTTCTTTTTGAGATCGTGAGATAATATCTTCCTCGATCCTTAACTTCGTGCTATATCGGTTGTAGACGTCATTCCATGTTGTTGCTGGGAATTCACCAAGACTTTCCTTGAGTCGCCTCGTGGTTTCTGAGCTTTTTTCATTCAAATTACTGGTGAGCTATAGCTGCCCAATTATCCGGTACACGTGGTAACGTTATTCTTTCACGCTAGAACCTATCCACGAACTCTCTGAGCAACTCAGAGTCCCCTTGTTTGATTTTGAAAATATCCTCCATTCTCTTTTCGACTTTTTAAGTTCCCGAATGTGCTTTGATGAACGAATCTACAAGCTCAGCAAAAGAATTTATAGGATTTTCGGGTAAAAGAGAATACCATGTTAATGCTCCCTTAGTGAGCGTTTCTCCGAATTTTTTGACCAACACTGATTCAATTTCTTGTTTGGTCAAGTCGTTGCCTTTTACGCCAGTTGTAAATGCAGTCACGTGGTCTCGTGGATTAGTTGCTCCATCGTACTTTGGAATATCAGGCATTTTGAATTTCTTTGGAATTGGTAAAGGAGCAGCGCTTGGCTTCGAAGGTTGCTGTGAATATTTATCCATATCTATTCCTTTGATTACGGGCGGTACTCCAGGTATTTGGTTTATGCGGTCACTTTGCTCCTTAAGCTGTTTTTGCAATGTTAGAACTAAATTTTGTAAATCGGAATTGACTACGTTACCTGGTTCTTCCTCTCGTGATTTACTGGGGATTCCACCTCTGCCTGAATTAACAAGCCCAGAACGAGGGTTTTCCAAAGTGTTGGTATTTGGAACTGGTGTTGATGGTGCAGCAGGTAATTGGCTGGCAAAAGCTTCAAGAGCTTTATTGACCTGTTGAGCGATCAATTTCTGCAAAGCTTCATTGATAGCTTCATCATTGTTAAATTGAGTATTTGCATTTGAGTGAGATCCATCAGGAGTTCCTTCTCGAGATCGACGAGGCGAACTTTGCGGAGAAGGGATCGGAGTGTAAACATCTTGTGGATCTCCTTGGAGTTGATGATTTCCTTGATTTCCTTGGTTTCCCTGGGTGTTATCGTTAACATTTGACATGATTGTTGATGTAACGAAATAGATAAGGTTAAGAAAGAATAGATTATCAGATTCCCGGTAACGGAACCAATTTGTTTAACCGAAAAATGGGATTTCAGTCAAAGCTTTATTTTAGAAGAACTCGGGCAACTGATAATCAGAAATGAATAAAAGAAGAATGATTTTGCCAATAATGAGATAGTCAGAGAAACAAAGTAAACCAATGTATTCAGATAATATTTCGTGTCCTTACAATTGATCCATTCTCTCCCTTTTATAGCTATTTTGGAGATATGCCTTTTGCCTTTTTCATAATAAGGCTATTATAGACAATTAAAGACATTAAATGCTACGTTACATAATCATTGTATTTAATACAGATTCTCTAACGTTTTTAGTATTTAAGGCTCATTAAATACTGTATTTGTACTCCTTTGTACTGTCGGGTTCATTCTCCTTAATTCTTGGACTTAAATAGGTACGGGCGTTGAGTCTTTTGAATAACCGCCCGTGCCTCTTTCTATGTCTCTGCTCGTATCTGTTGCAACTCGTGCCTCTTTGCCAATCATAACTCTTTGATCAATCTACGTGTCATGACACGTCATCTTTACACCACTTTAATATGTAAACTTAATTTTTCCCAATACACAACAAGCACTTCGAAATCTTACCACTCAAACAATCTAAACTCCGGAGCAACAGAAGTGGTTGAGCAAATTACTAGGCTATGATTTTTGCATTATCTATAGGCCGGGAAAACAAAACATGGCTGCTGAGTAATGGTACCACTCTTGCTATGAGTACAGCTTATCTCCCGCAAATCGATGGACAATCTGAGGCTCTTAACAAGTGTGTCGAACAGTACCTTCAATGTTTTGTGGCGGATAGTCCTTCAGAATGGGTGTCCATGCTGCCATGGGTTGAGTAATGGTACAATACATCACTTCAAACATCAGCTGACATGACTCCTTTTCAAACTTTGTATGGAAGAGACCACCAACAATTGCTAGATATATTTTGGGCAGCAGCAGTAGTGATCTTGTGGAACAATTTTTAATCCAAAAGGGACGAGGTGTTGGAACAATTTTTAATCCATTTCGTATTCTCAAAAGAATTGGAGAAGTGGCGTAAAAATTAGAATTGCCAGTAGTTGCGAAAATCCATCCAGTCTTTCATACATCACTGCTTAGGATATGTTCAAGGCAACGAGATAATCAGATTACGCCACTTCACTTGATTTCTGACTTAAGTTCTAAAATCTGCTCATTTGAAATGATCTCTTTCAAATGGAGTTTCATAAGAAACACTCTTGAAGAGTAACTATTGGTGTATGACCAATTCATTTGATAGTAGTACTTTTTTTGTCAACATTAAAGAAATGTTTTATGTTTAATCAATCTTTTCAAGAAATTCTCTTGAGTTCTGAACTACGATAAAACATGTAAAGAAATTTACACTATACAATTAGTTTTATTTGAATAGATAAATAACTTTAAATGGTACTTCCTGCGCCCCAATTTATGTGAAGTATTTGATTGGGCACGAATTTATAAGAAATAAAGGAAGACTCTTAAAATTTGTAGTTTAAAACAACTATAAAAATTTGTGTAGCTACAAATCATCTCTTTAATGGTAAAATGGAAAATGTACGTATACTTGAATTGTTACTGAATATAAAAAAGTATTTTTTTTCGATTGACTAATAAGGAAAGAATGTCAAATTAATTTGGACGGAGGAACTACTATTTATTATGGGAGACTTTAACTAAGTGTTTATTGTGATTATATAATGTAAGAAAACAAAGCTCGCAAGCTACATCGATTTTGATCAAAGAAGAAGATCGGAAGAAGAAAGAAGAAGTTTCAGAACAAAAGAAGAAAGAAGAAGAGTCTCAGACAAACTCATCGGATATATCGAAATGTCTAAGACTTATGTGTGGAAAAGGGTGATACATGTGGCTGCATCAGGAACATTGATCACAAGTTTGATGGATTAAACCACAGCCGTCAGATTAGTGTTAGCACACCGATTAATTTTATGCATACAGTTGTACATAAATAGATCCTTATAGAAAAAGAATAATAGGCTGTTATATGTAGTTATATTTAGGCTAATAAAAATAGGACAAGTGTACAGAAATTTATTTCTTTTACATTTTATTTTTTCATAGGATATTTTGTATATAAACACTGTCTTGGACAGAGATGAATACACAGAAAATTCCATAATCTCTCTTCCTATTCTAACATGGTATCAGAGCAAATCTAGCTCGATTTTGGGTATTCTGAAATCATCTTCATCAGTCATCTAGATCTTCCATCATGCCTGACTCACTGATACTCCTCCAGCTCAAACCTCGACTGGAAATGGGATCAATGTTGATCTCAATCACCCATTCTTTCTTCATTCTTCTGATGCTCCAGGAATGAGCCTCGTCAATGCTGTCTTTGATGGGAAAGGTTTTCAAGGATGGAAGAGATCCATTCTCATAGCCCTTTCAGCCAAGAATAAGGTGGGTTTCATCAATGGAACAGTTGCACCTCCTCCTATCACTTCCAAGGACTATCAATCTTGGTCAAGGTGCAATGATATGGTTACATCCTGGCTACTCAACTCTTTGTCCAAAGATATTGAAAACAATGTCATATACTCCAATTCTGCCAGAGATCTGTGGATTAGCTTAGAACACAGATTTGGCCAATCCAATGGTGCCAAATTGTACCATCTGCAAAAGGAATTATCAGGATTATCTCAGGGAACAAATGACATAGCATCTTATTTCACTAGACTCAAGCGACTATGGGATGAATTGGACTCACTGAACTCTAATGTGAAATGCACATGCACATGCATTTTGTGAGGGTAAAAAGATGCTGGAAAAGTCACAAGAGGATGAAAGGCTCATTCAATTCCTCGTGGGACTGAATGAAGCATATGGACAAGCCAGGAAAAACATTCTAATAATGTATCCTTTACCTAACATCAATCATTCCTATTAACTGGTTTTACAAGATGAAAATCAAAGAGAGGTATATGCTAATCCTTTTATTTCTACTGATACTTCATCTTTCATGGTGGGAAGTCAGGCAAATTTCACTAGTCAAGGTAACTTCTCACAAAGAAATGGAAACCAAAAGAACTCAGGACAATTTCAAAGGAACAACAATGCTGCCCCTGCCCCAAGATCTGGATATGCACCACGGAAATCACCAAATCCTAAGGGAAAGAGGACTAGGTTTAACCCTAATGCCTCTTGTACTTATTGCAAGAAAACAGGACACACAATGGTTGATTATTACAGAATCATAGGGTTCCCAGATGATCTTGAGTTTACAAATCCAAGAACAACTCAAGGTGGAGTCAGAAGCAATGTTGTCATTTCAGGGGAACAAGCAGAAGACAACAACAACCAACAAGAGGTGATGAATCAACATCTATCAAAGGATCAGTTTTCTCATCTAATCCAACTGATCAAGCAAGTCAAAATTGCAGATACAGGCAGTTCAAATTCAGAAATCAATGCAAATGCTGTGGCTGGTAGCCTGGTACTATTATCAAATATTTTGGATCATGTTTCTCAGTTTTTAATTCAAGCACTCGGATTATAGATTCAGGGGCTTCAGAACACATGTGTTATGATTCAAATGCTTTCATTTCTTTATCTCCCTTAGCTGTTTCTTTAGACATAAATCTTCCTAATTCTTTTAAAGTAACTGTCACTCATATAGGGAAGATTTCTATTCTACCTAATTATGTCTTAGAAAATGTTCTTCATGTCCCTAGTTTCAGGTATAATCTCTTATCAGTTAACAGGTTTTGTTCACAATTTTTCTGCATTCTCTCATTCTCTTCTGGGAAATGTCTGTTGCAGCCCTCTTTAATGAAGAGGGCTCAAGTTTTTGGTGAAGCAAGAGAGGGATTATACCTATTGGAGCCTAATTCTACCAATTTTAAGGATAGGTCTGAAGACTTTGTAGTTTCATCTTCAAAACAGAATGTTTTTAATCAAGTTCCAGTTTCTTTTCCTTTTACTGCAAATGCAATTTCTGATGTAAGCCTTTGGCATTGTAGATTAGGGCATTTGCCTTTTTCATCAATGAGACATCTCAGTTTTATCTCTTTTCCTTCTAATACTGAATGTTTCTGTGATATCTGTCCTCAAGCTAAGCAAACTAAAAGTCCTTTTCCTTTAAGTGAGATTAAATCTAAGGGAGCATTTGAACTAATACATGTGGATATATGGGGTCCTTACAAGGTCACTACTCATAATGGCTTCAAGTATTTCTTGACTGTGGTAGATGATTTTAGTAGAGGAACTTGGACTTTTCTCTTGAGCACCAAGAGCAATGCCTTTGGAGTCTTGATAATTTTTTAGTTATGGTTGAAAGGCAATTTGGTGTTAAAGTTCAAAAGTTGAGAACAGATAATGCTTTTTGAGCTTGGAAAAGGGACTCAAGAGTTTGCTTTCCTTCATTCTCAAGGGATTCTTCACCAAACATCTTGTGTAGCAACTCCTCAACAAAATGGGATTGTTGAGAGGAAACATAGACACTTGTTAGAAATTGCTAGGGCTCTATTATTTCAATCCAAGGTTCCTATTGTTTATTGGGGAGAATGTTTGTTAACTGCCACTTATTTGATTAATAAGATACCATCTAAAGTTCTTAAAGGTAGGACACCATATTCTATAATCTTCAACCAACCACCTGATTATGCTCATCTCAAGACTTTTGGTTGTTTGTGTTATGCCTCTACCTTATCTAATGGAAGGGAAAAATTTGACCCTAGGGAAATAACTTGTGTTTTCCTGGGATATCCCTTAGGACAGAAGGGATACAAATTATTGGAATTGAATACCAAGAGAATAATTCTGTCTAGAGATGTTCATTTTTATGAAGACAAGTACCTATTCACATTCAATTCTTCTTCATCCCCAGATACTATCTTTCCTTTGTCCTCTCCCCAAGATAGTAACACCATTCCTCAACCTCCAGAATCTAGTACTGAGTCATTTCATTCACCTACCACAAATATACCCCAATCTCCTTTTCCTCACTCATCACCTAGCAGCAATACCAATTCTCACAATCCTACCTCACCTATCTATCCTGGAGTTGATTCACCACCTATACCAGCTACATCTGAACCACATAACACACCAGTGCTTAGAAGATCCTCTAGGGAATCCATATTGCCAAGCCATCTTAATGACTATGTGTGCAATCATGTTTTTCTAACTGATTTAACTGACTCTTGTCTAGCTCTTCCTCCTAAACCTCAGGTCTGTTCTTTTGGAGCTCTATCACCTCAAAATCAGCACATCATGAATTCAATTTCAGAAATCCCAGAACCTAACAGCTATTCTCAAGCCTCTTTGGATCCAGGTTGGAAGAAAGCCATGGACTTAGAAATTGAGGCCTTAAAGGCCAACCACACATGGTATGAGGTTTTACTGCCCATTGGAAAGAAAGCCTTACCTTGCAAATGGGTGTACAAGTTAAAGCATAACTCTGATGGGACAATAGAAAGACTCAAGGCACGTTTGGTGGTCAGAGGAGACATTCAATAAGAAGGCATAGATTACAGCGAGACTTTCTCACCAGACCATAAGGTGTCTACTGGCAATTGCAGCCAAAAAGGGCTGGCAAATTCATCAATTGGATGTAAGTAATGCATTTCTCCATGGAACTCTCCAAGAGGAGGTTTACATGAAGTTTCCAGCTGGACTATGCCCACCAAGTCCCAACCATGTCTGTCTACTTAGAAAGTCCCTATATGGCCTAAAGCAAGCGTTACGGCAATGGTATGCTCGACTTGCTGGTGCTTTGAGTTTCAAAGGGTACACTACTTCATTAAATGATTACTCCCTATTTTTCAAGAAAGACAAGAATCTTATTTCTATTATAGCCGTCTATGTGGATGACATTCTCACCAGTGGAGATAATCTACCAGAAATTGTAGCTACAAAACTTTTCTCCATACAGAATTCAAAGTCAAAAATTTGGGAAATCTACATTATTTCCTAGGTATGGAGATTATCAGAGAAAAACAAGGGATCGTTGTTTGTCAAAGAAAATTTACCATGGATTTATGTTTGATGTCTCTGATTTTTCTACTGTGGCTTCTCCTCTTGAGCCTTCTGCCAAGCTTCATGCAGATCATGGTCCTCTTCTTCCAAATCCCACTATTTATCGGCACCTCATTGGTAAACTAAATTATTTAACTCATACGAGGCTCGATTTATCATTTGTTGTACTCAAACTTAGCTAATTTATGCAAAGTCCTAGACTTTCCCATTATACTGCTGCTATACATGTTCTCCGCTACCTTAAATCTGATCCAGGGTAAGGGATTTTCTTCAACTCAGCATCTTCCCTCAAATTACTTGCTTTTTGCTATGCAGATTGGGCCTCTTGTCCGAAAACTCGACGCTCTGTTAGTGTCTTTTACATTTCTTTTGGCGGTTCCCCTGTTTCGTGGAAATCGAAGAAACAGGCTTCCCTTTCTCTATCATCAGCCGAGGCAGAGTACAGATCCATGAGACGTGTTGTTGCAGAGCTCACTTGGCTCACTCGACTTTTTGAAGACCTCTCTATTACACCATTATTTCCGATTCCTGTACTCTCTGACAGTAAATCGGCGATTCACATCGCTCGAAACCCAGTCTTTCACGAACGGATGAAACATGTCGAGCTGGACTGCCATTTCATCCGTCAACAGTATCTTTCTGGCCTCATCTCACTCTCATATATTCCTTCTGCTTCACAGCTTGCCGATATATTTACCAAATCTCTCTCCGGTCCTTCTCATCACTCAGTTCTTACCAAGTTGGGGGTAATTTCTATACCCTCCAACTTGAGGGGGGATGTAAGAAAACAAAGCTCGCAAGCTGCATCGATTTTGATCAAAGAAGAAGATCGGAAGAAGAAAGAAGAAGTTTCAGAACAAAAGAAGAAAGAAGAAGAGTCTCAGACAAACTCATTGGATATATCGAAATGTCTAAGACTTGTGTATGTGGAAAAGGGTGATACACGTGGCTGCATCAGGAACATTGATCACAAGTTTGATGGATTAAACCACAGCCGTCAGATTAGTGTTAGCACACCTGTTAATTTTATGCGTACAGCTGTACATAAATAGATCCTTCTAGAAAAGGAATAATAGGCTTTTATAGGTAGTTATATTTAGGCTAATAAAAATAGGACAAGTGTACAGAAATTTATTTCTTTTACATTTTATTTTTCATAGGATATTTGTATATAAACACTATCTTGGACAGAGATGAATACACAGAAAATTCCGTAATCTCTCTTCCTATCCTAACATATAATTAAAATAATATTTAAGAGACAAATGGATCGAATTAAGTACCGATAATTTGGTAGCGGTATTTTTTTTCATGAAAAAATTTCACTCTTGTACAGTTAGACTTCCCAGAATAAGGTACGAAATTTTTCTTCTCTTCTCTTTGTAGTAGAAAGACTAGAGCTGTCAATATGGGCGGGGCCGGGCTAGCCCAGCCCAGCCCACGTGGGCTTTAGCAATTGACGGGCTGGGCTGGGCTAGCCCACCATTTTGATGGGCCCTATAATGATCAGCCCATTCCAGCCCTATGTGGGATACGGGCCCCCACGGGCCGGCCCATCATTTTTTAAAATATAATTTTATATTTTTTCTTTAAGTTCTAAACTAAAAAAAGACAAATTTTTGAAAGTTAAAAAAATCTTATTGGAAAAATTTCACAAACTTAATAAATTTCTATACGGTTCTAATATATCACAATAAACACTAAAAAGGTAAAAGACAAGACTATATTTCATTAACTAAAAGTCAAAACTCAAAACAAACTATTCACGAGAA